GGCATAGAGGGTCAATTCTCTTATGCTATGAATTAAGTTGTTTGATCTATTTCTCTAATGAAGCTATAAGCTTTATGAGAGTGAAATAACTCACTGTTGTTCTGTTTGTTTTATTTATTTACTTAATAAAGTGCTATTTTACTTTTGGACTTCAATAACTGAATGCTAGTTGAATACATACATTTTGAAAGGTTCATAAATGTTCACATAAAATAAAGAATAAAAATTAATAGAACTATAAAATCTGATCAACTTGATTTTTATTTAAAAGATCTGACTTTGGAGATGATTTTATACATTTCATATTATCTTTATCTTCACAATATGAGTAATATATAAAATAAATCTTTGTCATAGGTGAAAAAAAGCTAAATGAAAAAGGAGATAAAGTCGTGTTTTTAATGTGTGTATACAACACTGCATTTAAGGCCGTGCCGTGGTGGCACACGCCTTTAATCCCAGCACTTGGGAGGCAGAGCCAGGCGCATCTCTGTGAGTTCAAGGCCAGCCTGGTCTACAGAGCGAGATCCAGGACAAACACTGAAACTACACAGAGAAACACTGTCTCAAAAATAAATAAATAAATAAACACTGCATTTAGAAAACAGAAATAAGTGTACAAGCAGAATTGTCTATGAGATAATATGGAAGGAATTTTATTGTCATTTTCCTTTTATTCCTCAGACTTTCTACCTTTTATAATTTAGAAAGTTTGATTGAGCCATAATTGGCTCATAACAGAGGCTTCAAAGGAGAAGTGTTATATGAAACTAAAATAACTCGGCAAATAGACTCAGGAGAGTACACACACTCCTCCCTCCAGACCTTTGCTGCTGGTAAGTTGGGACATTTCTTTCTGACTCAAAGAATAGAAAGCCACATGCCCAGTCCCCCACACTCACATAGATTGTTGTTGTTAAGCAAGATTCATTCATCTCACTAAACTGCAAACTATCCATGCATGCATATTTCATACAAAGCATAAGCACACAAAATGCATTTTGTTTGCTTAAATCGTATCATAATCTATGGCACCAATAAACTATATGAAAAATGCTGTAATTTGTATGAACCAATTGCATAACATTCTAAAAAAAAAAAAGGAGAACTATTCTATAGTGACAGCAAGCCATCTGGGGCAAAGAGCAGGGACAGTAGATTGACTACTACTACAGTGACTACAAGAAGATGCATGGAAATTACATCTTCACTATAGTGATGATACTGTGGTTGCAAACATTTGTCAAAATTCATTGACCTATACACTTTGAATGGTATATTTTATTTTGTGTAAATTTCACTTTAACAAAAATACTCTATAGCATTTATGATATGCTCCTGTATGGCATGTAATGGTTATACATGGGTTGACAGTATCAATCTGAGGTAATCTTGATAATGGACAGCTAAAATGATACTATTTGGAGAGTCTAATATAAAAATGCACCTATCTTCCAAAAGATTATGATGACTTCGAAATTCTACCAGTACTAAGCTGTGCCTATTGAATTTTTGAGCATTAAATTCCCAGAAAAACATCATTTGGGAAGGAGAGTAAGTTCTCCAACATCATCTAATTTCTCTAGGAAGAACTAACTTTGGAGCAGTGGCAGCTTTGGAAGTCGGTGAGCAAACAGGGGTATGTGAAGGCAGAGATGACCCAGAGTGAGAGTGTCCTCAGATGAGCACTGGCTGTTTCCC